ATACGCAAATATTTCACGCGAAAGTTCACGGATAGGTGATGCAAGCATCGTTCTTTCTATATTATTACCGAATATTATAGAATATTGCGATAGCATGTTTTTAAATTTGATAAATATTTTGATTAAATTAAACTCAATTAAATTGTGTATGTTTATGTACAATATAACCACTAGTTGTGTATACACGTGATTAGATACTATTTAATTCACTATGAATTTATGTTATGTGTGCTGAAATTTTGTTACACGCTAAAATAATCGCAAGATCGCAATAATGAATACACAGGAAATATTATGAGTTTAAAATCGCATGAGAATCGATGCTTCAATTAGAAATATATTTTTTAACGCGCTAATTGTGCTCTCAATCGCAAAATCAGAGCGATATTTAATTTTTATCAAAATTAAATATTTTGTCCAAAAACATTATGAACATCGAAATAAATTGAAAAACTAATTATATCAAATTACAAGCATTATATAAAATGCAACAGAGAAATAGTATAATGGCATATCATACCACAGATGAAATTTATATATAAATTTACATATATATAAATTCCATCTTTTGTATGATATGCCATTATACTATTTTTGATATTCACTGTTTTTAATTGCCTGAAAAGCTACGAGTCTTTTTATATAGATAATGTGTAAAGATAAATTTTAACGAACATTAAAATTATTTTTAGCAAAATATCAAATAGATAAATAAGTGTCTTTTCTCTCTCTACTTTTTCAATTTTCAGTTACAACATTGCGAGAATCATGCTCATTCTTATTGATTATCTTCTGTTTCATACATTATTTAGTACAAGTATATTTTCTGTTACTAGAAGTACAATAGATTCCCTTCCTTCTCCCGCAAATCAAATTCGGGTCGCAACATCGACTTACAAGAAACTCATGTTTCATCTCTGAATAGGACGCGTTTATTTGGCTCGCGGAGTTTTTCGAAATATTTCGCATAATAGTCGAGTCGTAAATAAAAAGGAATCGCGCAAGTTTCACGTACCCGGTGGCGGATTGTTCGAGGTTGCAATGTGAATTGCATTCAGGATTTTGGTTAGTGTTTCCAAGTTGGAGGAAAACGTCAATCTGCCGTCCCATACCTGAAAGCTCTCTCTATCGCCCCTTCTTTCTCTCTCTCTCTGTTTCTCTCTCTCTTGTTACATTAATGCAAAAAGACATCTCGCGAGAGAATGAGATCACATTCGCCGGCAAAGGCGACGAAGATGCTAAATTCATCGGGAACTATTCGGCCGTCGAACTAATTTAGCGCTCGATTTAACAGGATCGCCCGATCTGTCCTCGACTTGTTCCACTGCGATGCGAATCGCCGCCATAAAGGAGCCGCCCCTTTCAGACTATCTCGATATGACTCTCGTCCTATCTTGCCGACGAACTTTCGGCTCGGGTATCAACTATCGTCGATAGCTACGCTTTCTTCCTTACGTTAAATTGCACGCCTCGTCTGCTTAATGATTCGTCGTAAATCTTACTTTTAATGTTCTTCGGAATTCTGGCAATCCTCGTGATGCGTCCGACATACAGGAAAAAGTTCGGGCTTTTTTCAGGTTTGGAACTTTCGTCTGAAAGTCGAATTGAAAGCGGTTGGAGAAAGTCCAGAACGAGCTTAATTAATACACGTCCGAGCGCCAAATGCTTCCTTTTTTTCGAGCGACATTTTCGTGTTAAATTAGTAGACATCTCATATCATCCTGCTCGGTGAACTGCAGATCGATGGTGCGGTACTTTAGTAACCGGTGATTTTACTCGAAAATATTACATCAATAGTGACAGAGAGAGAATTAAATATATACTTTTTAAATATTCTCTCGAAAGATAGATTTTAAAAACTGAACTTAAGCTCTTTCTCTCGGTTACTTTCTGCGAGCAGATGAAATATGAATTTCTTCTGAAATTTCTTCGCGTGTAGATTTCTCTTTGACACAACGAGAATAAATATTTCTGCGCTTTGGATGAATTTTAAAAAAGTGAAAAAGCCACGCGAGAGGGGAAGTTATTAAACATTGTAAAGTATCGGATGTTGGCAAAGAGTGGATATTAAATTTCTTCCACTTATCGTTTGGCAAACAATCCATTTCGCAAACATTCTCGAATGTCTCTTCGTGGACCTCCCTCTTTACGTGTTAAAAGGTAAGCTTAAAAATCGCAAAGAGACGAATCGATGTCATGTCGCATTCGATCGATGCATTAGGGGTGACTTTTGCCGCGTGGCTTTAAAAATTTTAGTTCTAAATGGTCTGCGCGATCACAGCTGCATACCTAGCTCTTTTTTTTTAATGGATGCCACCATCTCTCGCCTAAAAGGCCGCGCTTCCCTAAAATGCGGCGGCGAAGTGTTATAACTCCGACGTGTCGCTGGCACGAAAGGCAACTGGGAGAGGAGGGTGAGGAGGGAGGATAGAGAAAGATCGCGAAAAATATGGGGGCGGATAATGGCCGCATAGATGATAGCAAAAAGAGAGAGACAAGAGGAAGCTGAACCGCGAAAATAAGACACTCGACAAAGCGATGTTAAGGCTCCCTAGTCGCAATTTGCCACCAATTTTTCCAACATTTAGAAAATGCGCTTCTAAAAAATTAATTTTCCCCAATAGATATCTATTCCTAATTTTTAATCAACAGTAATATTAACGTATCTTGTGCGCTTAGAATAATAAATATTTGTAGAAAAGCATAATATAATTACTCTATTTTTTATGTATAATAAAATATTATAATAAATAAACTTATGATAATATAATTTATAATAATAATTATATAGAAAAATTATATAAAAAAATAGAATAATAAATATTTAATGCTAATATTCAAGAAAATAAATTAGAATTAATGATGCATGATTTTTTATATGAAAAAATATTATAATAATAAATAAATTTATGAGAATATAACTTACAAGAATAATTATATAGAAAAATTATTATATAAAAAATAGAATAATACATATTTAATTCTAATATTCAAGTAGAAAATAAATTAGAATTAATGATGCATGATTTTTTATAATAAAAAATTAGGATAGAGCGCGCGATCCTGCCTGCAACTTTGGAATTTTCGCAACTCGCGATATCTCTCAACTTTCTTCGATGCACACAAAGGTTAATTTAACGGCGAATGACGTCGATAGGAAGCGAACAATATACTCGTCCAACGCTCCCTTTGCCATCTTATCGGTTTCAGCGCGGTCGACCGAAATAGACAAGACGGTGCACTCTCTCATCATTAGCCTTCCATTGTTCCGTAGTCTCATCCACGTTCGACCCATTTTATGCCTTATCAGTCAGCATCTCTCCGACGCGTTGGCTGAAGTGCGCCGACGAAACTACCGAGTTCACTCGTGACAAGATCGTCCATGTGCCGAGAGAAACTACCGAGTTTCCTCGTGACAAGATCGTCAGACGGCCTTTGTGCCATCTCACCGAGCGGTTTCTGTAAACGTGATCTGTCGCAACTGCTTTTTATTAAAAATACAAGATAAGCGACATAATAAGCCACTTCCATCGTATGTTAATCAAGGCGACAGAGACCTTTTCCTATTTATTATGAAATTATGGAGATAAATTAGGGTTAAAAGCCTCGAGGACAGAAAGAAATGAATTTAGATTTTCTAAATAAACTTGCATGCGACAATAAATAGTGTACTATAATACACGAATCAATATTTATCTGTTTTATTAAAATAAAATTTTAAATAATTTGTGATTTTAAAATTTATTATAATAAAAGATATAGAGAGATTATAATATAATAAAATTTAAAATATAATAAATTAATAAATTATAATAAATTTTAATTATATTTTATTATATACATACAATAAAATAAAAAAATATTTTATTATATACATACAATAAAATAAAAAAAAATCTTTCTTTCTCGTAACAAGTGAGAGTAATAATAACACTCAATAAGCAATAACATCTCTTCGTAAAAATTGAAAGGAATTATATTTAGATGATAGTTTCCATCTGCCGCGGTGCGGAGTTTGCTCCTTCGAACAACCATATTTTCGACGATGTCAGGTCGGCAGACAGAAATATCGTCGGCGAACGTTTCAGCCATTAGCATTTCGGACACTCATGATTTATTCATGAAGAAAGCGCCACGTGTAGCAGCGTGGTAGCAGGGACCTCCAAGAGGGAACTGCACCTCGATGTAGGGGTAGTTTGGCGGCATGCGGCCAACGTGCAACAATGCATCATGATTCGCTATGCAAAAGGGCGCACGCGAGAGAGAAGGAGAGAGATAGAGAGAGAACCCCGCATAAACGCGCCCGCGCGTGTTTAAGTAAGTACATAAAACACACGGGGAATACCCCGCCGTTCGGTCATCCCCGAGAAATGCTGCGGATGAACGGCCGCTCACGTACGGGGTGGATCGCAATTATGCCGCCGCTCGGAGTTTCAACCCGAACACGTGAAACGTAACGGGCATAACGGATTAGCGGAATGTAAGAGAATGTTTATGTATGGGCCGTGAGCGTCGCGAATAAGTGTAAGCGCCCGCATTTGCACCCCTTTTTAGCATTTTCAGGAGGAAGAGGAATGTTCGATTCCAAATGTTGAGCTCGTAGAGGGGAAAAATATAAAGACGCGAAATTTTTCGTACTTCAAAAATATCAAATTAAATGTAGAGCAGCTAGAATCCTAACTTTGCGCAGGTAACAAGACTCTTGAAGTTGAATAACAGTTTGAATGCAAGTCATATATGGAGTTTCTCCTTCACATAACATCTTCTACTCGTGAGAACTATTATTACTGTTATTACATTCAACGTGTTAATTACTGAATCATCAATGTCTCATTATTATTCAGACAGTCTCTTATATGTCTACTGTTAACTCCGAATCTTCCTTTCTCTTCAACTTTGCGGTATTCGAGGAACTTGCGTGATATTGGGAGTATTTGCAGAATTCCGGACTTCCACCCGAACAAGTTCGACTGACGAACGTACACCCTACGAGAACTTACCGGTAACTACGAGCCTCGCGTACGAAGAACTTTCCACCGTGTCACCGGTGACGTGGTGAACGGTACGACATCGGTAGGTCGAGTGGGCATCAGCGGGAGTCACTGAAAAGACGAGTAGCTCTCCGGTAGGCAGCATATGGTGTTTCTCGCCTGCAAACAGAAATAGTACCTGTATTAGTGATATAAAGCTCGATAAAGAAAATTTTGTAACGTTAAATTATAATTTTCATTTCTATCACTTTTTCCACCGGCAAGATTTCTCGAAATGCATATTTTTCGAGGTATTTCATTTTTTAATTATTTCAATATATTTATATACTCTATTTCTTGATTTTTTGTATAAAAATGTTAATATAATTAAATCTAATATTTAAATTTTTTATAATAAAATTATTCCAATATATTCATGTGCATATTTATTTTTTAATATTCCCTTGCATCTAATGCTGTTTTCTCATTTTTTGTATAAAAATGCTAATATAATTAAACCTAATACATTTAAATTTTTACAGTAAAAATAATAAAATTATTAAATTCTAGAATTAATTTAAAGAAATTTTTAATTGACATAAAATCGATTTTTATATATCTATCTATGAGAGACTTATATACATATCCCACATTTTAAAAATGATTTAGGGGACATAATTGAAAATTAAAAATTTGAAAATAATGAAAAAAAAGTTGTTCTTAAATCCATCACAATTTATTTCTCTAAAACGCGACATGAATTTTACGAAACACTCAATATGAAGTATTCTCGCGACGAGTCACTTTTTCATTCTCTCTCTTTTTCTCTCTGTCCTGTCATCTTCGTCAAGCTTCCATTAATATGGAAATTTCTCTAATGGAAAAGCGCGGGCGAAAACGGCCGGTTATAAAAGTCGCGCCGCGAGAAACAATGATAGCTGCGGAAAAATGATTCGCGACTAGACTCACACATAACGAAGAACTACTTCCGTTTAAGCGAGCCTGCCTAAAACGATCGGCAGCGTATGGCGTATCCCGAAGTGGCAAAAAGAAGCCGTATCGGCGAGATTGAGAATCAATACTCGTAAAAAATCGAACCGTAACCGTTGAATGATGACAGCGTGCTCGCTAGCGCACTCGGTGGCTTAAAACGGTTGGGTGATCGGCTTGAAAAAAAAAACGAGAAAAAAATTAGCGCCTCTCGAGTGAATTCCATCAGCCATCGTTGTTGCACGCGCGTTCGTGCCGTCTGTTATATACGTATCTCCGTGTGAATCAAGTTTTATAAAAACGTGATTTAAAGAGAGTTTCATAAACAGAGATACTTTAATCTCCCTGTCAAAGTGAGCGATATTGTTGTGTCCTGTATTGAAATTATACGGAAAAATGAATTGCACATTATTTAAGCTTCTCCCCAATATATTATCGATTTCAATTATATGTTATTATTACTTCATTATCGATGCAAATATATATATATCGTATCTATTTTTAATACAGATTATAAGAAACAATATACGCGTATCATATACATATTATTGCAATAATGAATACGTTTCAATAAATAATTAAATAATTAATGACCCGCATTCAACATACAAAATATGCATGTAAAATGAAAATATATAAATATAATGATGGCATTACTGACATTATATTTAATAAATAAATGGCATACACGTGTCAAAATATAAACGCAATGGCTTGCTGTTCAAATTATTATTTGAACAATCCGTATAAAATCCAAGCAAGTGTTATTCTATATTCTTAAAGAATTATTAATTTACGGACTACATACATCGTGATCGCAAAATTCAACGATTGTAAAAAATTACAAATATAGGATTTTAAAATAGGATATTAAAAATATAGGATTTTTTATCTTACCATATTAATTAATTAATCGCGTCTCATACAAATATATTGCTCTCACAAAGGATTTGCATTCTGTGTAAAATTTTTGTTTCAGATAATTTTCAACTTGAAAAATATGCTCATGATGCTATACAATACCGCAAAAAGTGATACCAATTAACAAGCGTAATAACGATCGATTAATAATGTGCGTAATTACGCACGCGACATTAAACATAATTAATAATCGAAATATCATAAAATTCTGTTAATTGCTCGTGATTCGTATTTACGAATAATCGAAGAAATTGCGTGGTGCGTAGCATCGAGAGAGGAATAATAATGAATTAATTTCCTGTCAGACGGTCGGACGCTCGGATCGATAGGGAATACAGAGTCGGGGGTTGGATTCACAGGTACGTCGACATTCAATACTCGACGTTGAATGAGCGTTAATCAAACCCCGTAGGAATTTAATGGGTCTGCGCGAAAGAGGTCGGCTCTTTGCGAAGTCCTTCCGATACGTTTTCAGTTATTTTTCGAAACGATGATCGTACACTGGCGGCCACTTTATTTCTTCGTTATTCCATCGGCATCCCGCGCCCTTGATATCCTGTATTACGCGAATTAATCAAAGCGGACAACGCTTCGTTATATCGAGAAATTTTAATTTTCCTCGGTAAACAATGCGTGGAATGTAGAGATTTTCGATATACATTTTATTTATATAATATTTTTTCAAGATGAAAGAATAAAAATTTATATTACACTGCCCTCTTCTCTCAGTCGCTTCATTTAATTCTTCGTACATAAAATTGTTACAAAAATATGCATATCATCTCAATATTTTCTGTTAAAATGCGCATAAAATTCTCATCAACACATAATCTATATAAAAACGTTGTATATAATTTTTATTCTCTCTCTATTTATGCAAAAAGATTTCATTATTCAATAATATGCAAAATTTATTTATTTGTCAAAACTTCTATTAATTAGCGCCAAAATTATTCTCGAAATTTTCACGAACTATATATTATCGTGAAAAAATACGAGAAGAATCTCGCATCCGTTCATTATTTAAAGATATCTGTGTGATTTAGTGCGGACGAAACGCATCGCGCGGAACGATTGAAGAGCCAGCGAGGCCCCTCCGTGTTCATACACGGGCGGAAACGTGGTAAATGAGAGCCGGGTCCAATCATTTTTCCCCGGAGGCCGGAAAGTCACCGAGGCGACCGCGATTATTCGCGCTTTTTCCGCGCGCTCGCGAGACGAGATATATATCACAAACGCGGCGGGGCGTTTTCCGCGCCCGTAAGCATCTCGGCCGAGATAGAAGAGGGTAGATATGTACGCGCGGGACGCGCGACTCCGTGGAAAATGCATCGCGCGAAAATATCTCGGGCTGTTTTTCTCCTCCTTTTTTTTATCTCCGGCATCCGCGTGTTTCTCTCTCCCCCTGCCCTTTCTACGCGGCGCGACGTATAAACGAGCGCATCTTTCGCCGATACGGAATCCGCGACCCCGCGTCCGGGGATGCAATGTCAATATTTCGTTGTTTGCGCGCATCGCACGTCGCGCCGCGCGTGCACTTTATTCCGTAGGAAATTGCGCGGAATTCCAGCCGCGTAGAAATGCGCCGAGTACGATCGGAGAAGCGGGGAGGGCGAGGAGGGGTGCGAGCAGGAATGCACGTAAGTCTGGGTTACCTTAAGAGGTTGGATCGTGCGGTGTGCAACGGCGGTGCATACCAGCGGAGCTCGCCGACTGCATACGGCGATGAAATGCCGGCCGTATTGCCGTATAACGTCGCGGAAAGAGGTAAGAGAAATGGGTATCTCCATGGTTAAGGGATAAGGAAGAGGGTGGTAGTGGGCGATGAATCGATCCTAATAAAAATAACTCGAGGGATTCTTCGGCGTTTTGCCCTCTCATTGTGCTCCCTCCAGCTCCCGCAGAATGATTACGCGACGATCGAACGTCGTGCCGCGAGAAATAGTTGGCATATTTAGACGAACGGGTTCAAAGTTCGCGTTGTAGTATATGGGAGATGTCAGAATTTACTTTAGGCTTGTTAATATATAATGTAATCAGCATCGATAAAATTATAAGCGGGAAATTAAGCTATATATGCGTATCTACATTATATTTATAATGTTCTTTTTTAGCCGAATACAATAATTAAATTTAACACTGCGCTTCTTTTAAATAAAGAAAATAAAAAATGTTAAGATATTAGGTTGATTTTTTTTTATTTTTAGGAAGAAAGAAAAATACCGAAGTTTTATTTTTATGAAAATATAAAATTAAATATAATTATTAAAAATTAGTTATTGGAGGTATATAAGGAGCGTTTAATATATATTGTTCTTTCAGGAAATTTATATAAAATGACAGTTATATATATATATATATATATATACTAAAATATTTAAAAAAATAGTACAAAAATTAAAATACTAATATCAAAGTAATAATGTAAGTATTAAAACATTTTCAGATATTTTTATTGTCAGATATTTTTATGTGTGTAAAAAGACATATAGATCAAAATAAGTCGATATTTTCCAAAACTGAAATTTTTCTGAAACTAAAATCTATAGAGAAACAAATAGTTTATATATAGATATCAAAATAAGTCGATATTTTTTATGCATCGTGCAGAAAAAATACATAAATATCTGAAAATATTTTAATATTTATATTATTTTAATATTAATGTATTAATTTTTATATTATTTTACATATCGCACGTGTCTGACCAAAAGCGGATATTAACTACTAATTCTTCTCTTTAATAGAAGAGAATAAATTCCAAGAGGAATAAATAAAGTAATATACGTCCAATTTTAAAAATTAATTAAAATCTTGTTCTTAAACAATAAAAAACATCATCAATTAATAAAAATTAATAAGTTAATAAATTAATTAATAATTTATTTTCACAATTATATTTTTATTTCAATCTATTACTTTATTATTCAACTGATCTGTAAATAAAATCTTTACTACAATTTCTCTAAAAATGTTTTTCTCTCTAAAAATATTTTTATATATAAATATACATAACCTCCCCTTTAACAAAATTCATGTGGACAAAAATATACAAGTAACATTACTTAAATTAACACCCTTCATATAACTGGAGAAGCAATCAAAAAGATGAGGAAAAGAGAAAATTCGTCGCGGCTTAAAATCTTTCCCGAGAGGAGATTTTGCTACGAGATTCATGCGCGAATATCATTTTGTGTTAATAAGAGTAATGGACCGAATAATCGGAGTTCGCAAATCACCAATGAATACCGACGGCATCATTCTATTTT